TACCTCTATATAACTAGAGCAGACATCATCTTAAAGGCTGTTGCAAGTGGATGTCAGAGCAGTCTTCACATACTCTGCTTATGTATAGGGTTGTGCAGAGATTTGTGATACTGGTCATGTACATCAGCTTGTAATCTCTGCAACTGTGAAATCTGGCCATGAGCTTCTCTAAGACCTTCATGGGTCGATACCCCTTTGTCCCTGAAGACAGATGGAAAATTCTGAATCTATAGCATTATGAAGAACTAATTTTTGCTTCAGTCAGTACTGTAATCATAGATCTGTTAGTTCTCTTTCATTAATTTAAATCGAAATATAAATGAAGGTCAACCAAACAGAGATGGGTTTTCTCCTCTCTGTTGTGAGGGCTTGTGTACAGAGACTAGTGAGCCTTCTCTGCCTGCTGATGGTCCTGGAGAAAAGGCTTGGTTTGGTTGTTTTTAGTTTTACTTACCTTATGAAACAAGTGAAAGGAACAAACCATAATGGAATTACAGTCAGTATAACTACTGTGTTGAAAGCACAACAGAGGGTGCAATTGTTTGCCTAGTTTATTACAGATAACAGGAAATTACTTTTTCCTTGCTTGATGCACAGGAATGGAAGCATCTTTACATTTATAATCCTTTAGAAATTAGAAAGTGATTTATCCTATTTCTGCTATACAAGAGATTGATCTTTCCTCTCACTCAGATTTCAGACATATATATAATAATAATATGCTTTAGAGTATATTCTGTATTTTTCATTACAGAGGACATTGATAGAATTGGTTCATACTTTTCTGTCTATACTTTCTTGCAAAGTTTCTGGCTGACTGCTCTGTGTAGTCAATTTATGTGTGAAGGTTTCATTGCTCAGAGAGCCAAATGTTGATTTTCACTGAAAATACTTGCATGGTCTTTTGGAAGTGTAAGTCCATTCTGCAAAGGGTGAATTCTCTGCATAGTAATCTTGAGACTGCCATTATGTTCACTGGCACAATTAATATGCAACTTGGAAAACATAAAACACCAATCAGAGAACTACAGTGCAGCACTGATGATAACTTTCACTATTAAATTTGCAATGTTCATATTTTATGTTCCTTTGTTTTCAAAATCACATATAGAGATAGAGACCCATAGAGATTTGAAAATCCTGGTTTTAATTAATCAGTGAATTTTTTTGCCAAATGGGACCTTAAAAAAGAAAATAAAAGAACAAAGAATAAAAAACCAAAAGTTTATCTATCTTTAGTCATCAGTCTTGAAGTTAATATTGCTACCAAGCATGGCTATCCCTAATGCTTTTATTGACAGCTGTGACTAATACAGCTTTATGGATAAATATATAGGTGTTGAGAGAAAATGTAATTGATTTCTTCAGAGCTTGTACATTTAATCAAACCATTAGATAATGAATTTCAGGTTGAGCACTAGGGAAAAATAGGTATACACCTGTTGGAACTTCTAAGTCTCATGAAGTAATACCTGTTTGAGAATACTTCAGTCTTGCACTGGTGTTGCTGGGAAAATATGTGATTATTTAGAAAAAGAGAAGAGGATTTTTAGGCATGCTTAGAAACATTAAAATTATCGCTGGAGTTGCTGTAACTTGATAGGAGAATGTCAAACCTTTCAATTTCGCTGGTGCTTCTTAGCCAAAAGAAGAGAAACTGTGTATGCACCAGTACCAAAGTCAGCACAGTTCTGTTCCATCATAGTTTTCTGGAATAAAGAAAAGCAGCAAATATGCCTGCCTTTAAATCACTGTTTCTGGATTTGTTTTTGTGGTAGTTTTTCTCTAGGTTGGTTCTGTCAGAATTAATTGTTAATGAAAATCCATTTCTGCTTCTCAGCTTTCTTTTTATGTAAAGAGAAATGTCTAGAGAAATTTGTAGGTAATTTTTATCATGTAAGGCCCACTTCCATTCTGCCTGCAGCATTCTCTACTACTGTCCATTACTGGCCTGCTGTTAGTTACTTTTTACTTTTACACAGCTTCATTTAGCTTTAATTCTTTCACAGCAATGGTTTGAACAGCTTTTAGTGTGCATATGATAGCATTGAAAGAACTTTCAGCCACAACAGCCTCTCTGGAACAAAGCGCATAGAAACTATAGAAAATCTAGCTTGGTAAACATAATTACATAATCAAAACTTTCATAGACCCTTTCCTAATGTAGCATTGTTCTGTACCTTTTGAGGTACTAAGTTGGGCAGTTTTAAGTAAGATGGTCTTCTGAAAACTGTTCAACAAAACTCTTTATTTAAACCACATCATAGTAATTTGCATGGACCAAATTGCAGTAATGATTAACTGCTAGTTAAAATGAAAGGTAAAATGGAGAACGTAACTCACAATGCAGAAACTTCTGCATTTGCTCTCTCTATGAAGGATATAAGAGCTATTCCTTTCTGATTTGGACTAACTGAATTTTTGGGTCATATCTAAAAACACTGAAAGGTAAAATTATTATAAAGCTAGATATCCTATTTTGTTAATTTTTATGGACAGTTGGTTTTACCTGTTGACTTACATTTCAGTCCAGCTGCAGGGCTGGTTTGGAAACAGGAGAGGCTAAAGTCTTACTAAAAAGAGTTTTTTTCATTAAAAAGAAACACACTAAATGTGATAAATACCATCATGTATTCTGAAAGAAAAACCCAACCCAAATATTGTTATTCAGTAGTTCACAGTTTGAGAATGTGAGTTCTCTAGAAGTATCCATTAATATTGGCAGGTTTCTATATCCCCTCCCTTTCCGGATATAACTAACCCAGAGCTACACCATACTTAGAAGGGAAAGGCCGCAGCTGCATTTACATTGACATGGACTTCTTGAAAACCAAAAAGTGGTGGGGGCTCCATAGGTTTTTGGTTTCTGTCTCCATTCACTCTTACACTTGAAAACTTTACCTTACTTGTATATCTTGTGTGCTTCAAACAAGCAAAATTTAAAGTAATCTGTTAAACCAGGTGCTTGATAAATTAAATGGGATTGACTTTCTCAATTTTGCAGTACTGCTTTCAGAAAAATGGCACACTTCAAATTAGTGATGCCTATGCTAATGTGAATAATTGTTTTAATAGTTTATTTAGTAATAGTATTTATCTTGTGCTTGTGTAGGAGCTTGTGTCTTTTGTATGATAGTTGGTTGAGCCAGTCAAAAAAAAAATCAGTATTTTCTTGCTTTACAGCTGGATGAGAAGTGGTATTTTTCTCACTTTTGGTCCTATCAAATCATTCATCTGTGCACATGCCAAACTCCAAGTAGCTGAGGAGTTTTGCAGGGTTCAGCAGTTAACTGCCTCAGGTTAGATGTATGCTCAATTTCTTGTCTGGCTTGCAGGTTTTACCTGGAAACACTTTACAGCTATTGGGTGTCATAAGATGATGCAGGTGACTTTTTTCCTTTTAATGACTGGTACAATTGTTGCTCATATGCAGATACATGGCCAACAGCTGAGTAACTTACTGTACAAATACACTTGTGTTAGTTGTTAATGCTTACAGGTGTGGTTTATCTGTGATTGTGACCACTTTAGTGAAAGCTGCACAGCATTATTGTCAAAACCTGTGTATTGAGAATAGATTAAGTAAAATTTCACCTGTAGTTTTCCTGCTTCCATAATGTTAACTGACATAAAACTGATTATGAATTTCATTATCGTATTGAGGGGTGTTGCTCTGTGTAGGACTTAATGGGAACGAAGTAGCAACAGGGATTTTTACTAAGTAAGTTGATAGCAGTTGGTTATTACTCAACTATTTATATAGTCTGTAATAGTGTTGATATTTAGATGAGAAAACTGTATTTTATGGCAGTGGTTATTTGAATACTTGATGGTTGTTAGTACAACAGTAACACAAAACTGTACTGCACTGTTTTCAGTATCTTTTTTTTTCTTTTATTGGGGAAGGATAGGCCAGTATGGACCTAATACAGAACCATCTAATTGCAGTTTTTTTCTTACTATCATATAGTTCTGGTTTTTCATTTTTATGTTTTTAGGGCTGGTGGACTGGGTCTTAATTTTGTTGGTGCCAATGTTGTTATACTGTTTGATCCTACATGGAATCCAGCAAATGATCTTCAAGCAATTGACAGGTACACTCTCAAACTATAGAACTTGATCCATGTTGCACTGTTCCATTCATTCTGTAATCTGATTGTCCAACTAAAATTTTTTTCTCAAATAAGAAATTTTTTACATTGTCTGATTCATCCATAACACAATAGAAAAAGTCCAACTAAATTAGGCTTTAGCTTTGATGTGATTATTTTAACCCAAATTTTAGAATATATTTTCCTTTATTTCTTTTTTTGCAGCACTGGGCCAAACAAAAACTCAAAAAAACCTCCTTGTGGTTACTATAACTTCTTGTGATCTCTGGAATATGTGTGTGTAGATGACATTTTTCTTGTGTTCTTCATGAAGAATACATTGTAGTTAACCCTAGTTCAAATGGTGTTTTGAATTCCCAAATCCTAAAAGACAGGGTCTCTTTATGTTCTCTTCTACTTTACCATTGTGGAGATTAATGTCTTTTTAGCACTCTGATATTATGGTGTTGGAGTATTTCTAGTAATGTAGATTTTTCTTTCAAGGCTTTTTGATTGTAGGATATTTCCCTAGGAATCCAAGGCAGACTGCTGACTTTTTAGTAACTGAAGTAAAGAATATTGAAAACCTATAAAGAATACTAAAAACCTATAAAAGAATACTAAAAATTCAGTAGATTTATATATTTTCATGAGCAGAAATACACTTGTTTCTGTTATCTTACGCAATTACATAATTCTGTTTTAAGGGTCTTTATGATTTCTAGGATGTGTTTATGTGCAGCTGTTCTAGAGAAGTATATCAGAAACATGTGTTGGGGACTACCTTTAAAGAATCTTTGTAAGACCACATTACTATGAATTGTTTTAGCCTCCTGTGAATTTTGTGGAATATAATCTATTAGAATTCTCAGAATTTACCATTTGAATAGAACACTGTCAGTTCCTTACCTGTTTTTATGATGTTGTATCTTGTAAAGTAATTTATGAAGTTAAAGAACCAACTGCTCCAAGAAATCCATGAGTTAATTCCTGTATAATGGAAATAGGAGAATACTTTGAGCAAAGGTAGGTGGAGACACAAAAGGAAAAAAACCCCAACAAACCTGAGGTAAACAGAGAAGATGTGTTTTGTGGAGAGGTGGGAGGCAGTTCTTGTGATATAAAATGAGGAGAAGGCTTTTTAAACTAGATAGGTCTGGAGAGAAATATAAAATACTTGAAGGTAAAGGGAAAGGAAATCAATTACTGAGGAAAATTCAGAAAAGTAAGGAAAACAACACAATCAACGTATGTGTAATTTCGAATAGTCCTGTTTTATTAGAATGCACTTAACATATTTACTTTGTTTACTGTTTATTCCTACCCTAAGAACTGTCATTTCTTAAAATGTTTTTAATGTACCATGTCCTTGCAGAGCTTATAGAATTGGCCAACACAGAGCTGTCAAAGTGTTTAGATTGATATCCTTGGGGACTGTAGAAGAGATCATGTACTTGCGACAAGTTTATAAACAGGTAAAGCTCACAAACAATTTAAATGGGGAGCTCTTCCAAGCAGATTCAGGGACTGAAAGCTAATCTAGCCTGTAGTAAAACTGTAGTTTACATTGTGTTTATGGTAGATGATGTTTCCTTAACATACCAAGCCAAAGTGCATCATTTAGCAGCTGTTAAAGAATGGAACTGAATTATATTTGTATTCAAGAGTTTTTCTGTAACTGTTGACAGTTTAATTATGCAGTGTACATTATTCAGGTTATACAGAGAGCTGCTTTTATTTGAAGACTTATGAAGTACAACTGTGATAGTTGTAGTAAGTATCTGCAGCAGTTTGATTCACCAACTTTTTCTCATGGAAGTCTGGAGAAAGTAAAGCAGAAATCTTGCTGATGCTATAGAAGAAAAGTTTGTGATCTCTTAGAAAAAGAAGACTGGGATTTTTGGTCCAGTCTGCTTGGATTTCCAAAAAGCATGTATAAGTCTTGATAGGATGTATAAATGTTTTTTTCCATTTTTATCAATTGGCTTGTATTTCTCTAGTTGAATAAGCAGTAATAAACAGAGTAATTATAAATCTGAGGGTTGGGGTTTTTTCAGCTATACTTGGATTGCTTTCCCTTAGCAAGTAAGTATACAGTGCAAAGGAAGGTGAAAAAATGCTAATAATTTAGTATAGTGGAGCTGAGCTGTCAAGATACAGAGGAGTGTCAGTCACATGAATAGTAGGTATCTGATAACAGGCAACAATGTAGTAAAAGTCTTCAAATGTTCTATTTTTTTTTTAAATTCAGTAAAGCGAAGCAGGTTCATATTATACCACAAACTATTATACCAACATCTGCCAGGGAAATTAAAACAAAATATCCTCGCTTAGGAATTTCTGCTTGTTCTAGCTAAAGCTGTGTATATAATGTGGGTGCCAGGAAATTCTGACGTGTTGTTGTAGCAAACACTTCTGAAATCTCTTGTGTTGTTCTGTTTTAGCAACTTCACTGTGCAGTGATTGGAACTGAAAATGCCAGGCGGTATTTTGAGGCAGTGCAAGGATCAAAGGAGCATCAAGGAGAGCTTTTTGGGATTCATAACCTTTTCAAACTTAGGACTCATGGGTCCTGTCTTACCAAAGACATACTGGAGGTATGAAGTACTACCCTTTTAGATAATAGTTTTACAGTTTTCATTTCTTCATGAGGCTTTTTGGTCGTTGTTTTGAATGGAAACACTATAAAACAGAATCATGAAACTTAATAAATACTTGTCTGTGCAATGACTTGAATGGAATAGGAATGCTAATTTCTCATTCTGATATAGACCATATGAATTTCTCTAAATCCAAGAATGGTAAAAGCTTGGTTTATAATTTTCATAAATTTCCTAGTATATGTATTTTTCTGGTATAAAAACTACGTATCTTATTTTTTTGATACTTTAATGCAGCTTTGTGCACAGATACCTTTTATGCATCAGTTACTGATACTGACCTTTTAAGCCAGAATTTTTACCAAAAAATATTTTTTATGATCACATTAACCTTCTTAGTGCACTTCTGGGGATGTCAATAATTGTTAAGAAAAAAGTTTGCTACAGCTAGCTTACATCTTCAAATTTACTGCAGCTTTATTTCATGTTTCTTTTTCTTTTCCTTTTCTTTTGTTACTTTTCCTCTCTAGGAATTTAGTCTGGACTTTGCTTATTCTACTTCTGGTGCTTACACTTCTTTTTCTGTGCTTGTCTTTGTGTGTAATAAAAAAGCTGTATCTGTTTATGTTAACATATTTGATTGTCTTAGAGGGAAGGACGGGTAGAAGCAGGAGTCATGACAGCAACTACATGGCTGAAGGAAGAGAATCGTTCCTGCAGCTCAGAAGAGGTGAGGTGTCCTTGTGGACTGTACACCAGAGCATGACAGACCTCTAATTCCCAGTATTGGAGTGGCAAATGTGGGCAATATATCTTTAGGCTGGTAATACTTTTACCCTGTTGTTATGAAGATTTTGTTTAGGGAATTGTGGAAAGGAGTACAGCGGGTTTAGATGACTGAAAGCTTCAGGTTTTGTGTAACTCTAGAAGACCTGGGTTATTTAGTTGTTATAGTCAGACAATCAGAGTGATTTCCACCAAACCAGTGGTCTGTTCAATGTCTTTTTTATTTTTAATGTATGTAATTATCTAATGGTTTCCTTCTGGAATAAGATCTTTTTTTTTTTTTTCCAACAAAGGTCAGTTTTAATAGGAGCATTGCATGTTTTGACTGAGTGCCATGTTCAGGTACTTTGAGTAAAGTTATCACTAGATTAGATTGCACTGAATTATATTACAAATTAGCCACTATCTCTTATGCCTGTTGGAGATTTGTGTGAGTATATATCAGCATTTCTTGTAACCTTACATTGATCTCAGTCTCATATTCATAATACATAACTGGATGGTCATGATCTCACCTATGACTTGCTGAAAAGCAGCAATTTTTTAAGCGTAGGTTAAATGCTTTTTGATGAGCAGAATTATATCAGGATTAATATATTAAATTTAAAACATCTCTGAGTACAGAATTTTGGTATTTACTGTTCTTCCATTTGCAGGCTGTCATAATTCTTACCTCAGTATAGTATACAGTTTTGGAGCGGTGTTCTGGACTTTAGGATCTTAAAAATGTTTTAAGATTGCCTGGGCATAATTTTGTTTGAATACAGTAGGCTTTGATGAATTTTGGAGTGGAATGTTAGCACCCATATACAAGGAAGTAAACCACTGCACAGATATTTATCATTATACACAATATTAAAGTTTGAGTCATAAAGTAATCTTCCAAAGCACCCTTGAAAGATGAAAAGTGGCAGTGAGATAGTGTAAACTTGAAAAATATGGATGTGGATTGGGAAGGCATAAATTGTTTTAGCAGTGTACAGCATATACTGTCTCAAGTACATAATACTGTTGGTTATTTTCAGTGGTTTTCTGCTAACAATATTCTGCCAGAGACTTCAATAATTTCTCATTATGAATTATTTTGCATTTTATAATATTATTTTGCATAGTTTTTGCTTGAGTAACAGTGAAATTCTGCTTTTTTTACACTGCTTTGGAATTAGGCATGTTGTGTACACTATAAATCTTAAATAACTTTGTAGTATTTTTTATTTTTAGTATGAAGAACCAGACTGTCAAGAAGATGGAGATCCTCAAAGCATTCGGGTGCAATTAAAAAGAGAAGAAACTGATTTTTGGGATGATTTGAGTGATGATGATGTTCTGGAGAGTTCTGTGAAAAAATCTGACAGAAGGAAGCCATGCAATAAAAATGGTTTTGTGGTAACAAAGGGACAGCTTTCCTTAATACAGTGTGGATTCTCTAAGTTGTTGCAGAGAGAAATTGAGACTACCAAAGAAGGGGATCATAATTGTAACTCTCATCATTCAAGTTCTAATGATCACACTATAAGAAAAAATGTAAATAGCAAGCATGGTGGTTTTCAGAAATGTCAAACCAGTGTGCCTGTTTTGAAGCATGGGAAAGCTGTTCTGCCTCCAAATGGAAGTGATAAGCAAGATATGCATAGTACAGAATGGCTTGGTTTATCAGGCTCTGAGGAGGAAGGGGACAGAAAAAATGAGGATCAAAGCATTTTAAAACAATGTGAAATAGTCATGGAAACTGAAAGTAGTTCTGAAGCAGATGATGATGTCATCTTTCCTACCCAAGTTCAAGTATGCCAGCAACCAGTGCTTACTAAAGAAGGTGAAATGCATAGGTCAACATCTGAAAATTGTGAAGAGTTAGCAAAAGAAAAAGCTGGGTTTGTGTTTAAGGGAAACAGTAGACAATTTGGATTCCACAGTGCTGAGTCAGATTGCACCGTACTCGTTGAAGATGTCAAGAATGACATAGAGTTGAAAGGAGCAAGTGACGTAAGTGATGAGTCTGATGATATTGAACTTCCCTATAATTCTGAATCAAGAAAGCTAGGAACTCGGAGTTTTCCAAAGTGGAAAGAATCTCTCCCACAAGTAAAGGAGCCCTACAGAAAAGGAGAGAAAAGCGGTTCTCAGAATATAGATGAATTCTCATCCTCTGAAGAAAGCTCTCCAGTTGAGAAAATTCATGCCAGGAAGCAAAGCTATAGGAGTAAACAACAGAGCAGCAGAATTCAGTTTGGGTCTAAAATGTTGTGTCCTATTCAAGATACCTCTGTTGCACAAATGAAGTCTAAAAATTATGCTGTACGTAGAACATATGCAAATAAAACTGTATTTGAGCATCAAGAGAAAAATATGGAATCAATGGACAAATATTTAGGTAACTATTAAGTTTATTTGTTAATTTTATTTCAACTAAAGTAATAACATATGTCTAATTTACCATTGTCAGCAGGTTTTAAGTTCTTGTTGCTGTACATTAATTTTTGTTACATAGTAAATGTTCTGCTAAGTTATTATTCAGTAATATCTTTCTGTAGCTTGCTCTTTATTAGTCTTACTTTTTTGTCTTATAGGCTGACAGGCTGCTTTGTAATTCTTAGTTAAACTCTTACCATATCTTGAAATATGCTGAGATTGAAGATTTATTAAAAATCCACAACCTAAATATTTGAACTGTAAAATCTTATGAGTCTTGACAGGGTTGTTAAATAAAATGTACAGAAAAAAAACCCGTGGTGTGGGAGTTTTAAACACCATGTAGAAGACTTGATTCCTAAAGACTTAATTTTAATCATTGACGTTGCAGCTGTTGAGCCATAGATGCTTTGAAATGTCTTTGTCCATATGAAAATAATCACACTGAAATTGAAGTAGTGTTAAACTATCTGGATAAATCCAAGTAAGTCTAATGATTGTTGTTAATTTCATAGAACTGAGTAACTTGGTTCTGAGTGAAATCGTAACAAATTTTACAACTTCAATATAATTTTTTTTAATTACAGTATCTTTCAGTGCAAATGTGTACCTTCAGAGTTTTGGAATAACTAATGTCCTTGTATTTTTCTCATAATGTATCAGATGGTGTTCAAGAAGTGGCATATATTCATTCAAATCAGAATGTGGTTGGATCCAGCAAAGCTGAAAATCACTTGAGCCGATGGGCGGTGCATGACGTATTTGAGTTGAAGCAGTTTTCCCAGCTCCCTGCTAATGTAGCTGTCCGTAGTGCCAAGGTAAAGAGATATTTTTGGAAATGTCATTTTAACTTTTATTTATCTTCATTTTTCATCGTAAAAACCTCTAAAAACTTGTTTTTCTGTTACTGGCCACCATGAATGATCAAAGACACTGAAGATGAGAGGAAGAGAATGCTCAGTTGGAAGTCTAATAAATTACTTTGGTTTTTTTGGGGGTGGCTTTTACATTATTCAGCTTTGAAAAAGTTGGGAACTAAACAGCACAGCACCCTCTGTGGGATTTTTTTGTGGAAGAAATGTTAAGATTAAAGATAGGGTTTTTGAAATCAAATTCTGAGACATGTTTTTCTGATTTGAGCCTTGAAAAATCTTCAGTTTGTCCTGGATTCAGTTAACAAAAACCCAATTGTCAGGGTACATTTTGGACACCCTGTAGCATAGAAATTTAAACATACATCAGTTGGCAGACTCTCCTGGGGAGGTGAGCATACACAGTTACTATAATTAAGTCAAATTGTCTATGTTTAATGTCTTAAACATAGAAGTAGAGTTTATTGGGAGTTCTTATTTTCAGCAATGGATATGTTTAATGTTTTTTGTTGGTCCTGTAGCTTGTTTGATTGCATTTGGTATACACACAAATCTGGAATAAAATCAGGTACATCTTTCATATTTTTTATTCTTACTACATTTTTTTTTAATCTGCTGTGATTATCTGGGTATTTGGTTGTTGCTTTGTAATAAATATTTGCAATTTCCTAGACTGAGTTTTGAGATAAACCACAAGCACAGAATAAGTCACTGGTGAATGTGCAGCTTAGTCTTTACGGACACATTAGCTATCCAGAAATTGTAGACATACGACTGTGTTGTTCTGGGGTGTTGAACATCTTCAGTGACTAGAAGAGTTTCTTCCAGTGCTGTTGTTATACTGTATTTAATTAAGCCATTAGCAGAGTTGCCAAGAATTTTTATACTGGGAAGATCAAACCAGGTGAATCGGTAAAAGTAAGCCCTTTTCAATTCTAACACATTTGTATTAGAATGTTCCTTATTAGCAGAAAAGTTGGTCAAAAATACTCAAGAGTACGGTAGGAAGGTACTTATTAATTGGCAATGGTTGACAACATTATTAAAACCAAATAAAAATGAAAGAAAACTTTGAAGAGAGTATTTTGACTAAATGTCTGTTGATCCACCTCAGTTCAAAATTAGTTTGTGGTTCTCATGTAACTTAAAGCTTATTGTGTAGAGTTACGTCACTGCAAGTATTGCAGATTAACTTACCTTGATGACCTTGTCAGGTTTTTTAAGGTATGCACTTTGGCTCAGAAGCAACAGTAGTATCTCTTCTCTTGGAGATCTAAGTAACAAGAAGAACATTAAAAATTATGGAGAAGGCTGCCTCTTTTTTCACGTCCGGTTACTCATTTATGTAAAGGCACTAAGGTAGAAGTAAAATATAGATTACTCCATATTCTTAAATGTGGCATTTTGAGCTTTGTAGACAGTATTGAAAGATCCTCTACTAAGAATTTTACTGCCACTGTTTTTGTTTTTACTTTGTATTTCCTTAGAAGACATTTTGTGAAAAGACATGGTCACTGTTGTGCTTCTGGCCATCAGACTTTGCTGGTCATTTTTCACTTACTTGCCATCAGTTGAAGTTAGGACATTCACTGTCTGAGGATCTACCTGTTTTATCATAAATAATGCTACTTAATAAAAATGTTTTTCAGTAGATTAAAGCAAGCAGCATCTTATGTAATATTAAAAATACAGCTGAGTAATTGCATTTCCATACTTGTTTTAGGTAAATAAAATTACAGTTTTGAATGTTGGAATGTTAATTGGAAACTGATAGTCATTGAAGGAAAAACAAAGTCTTGTCAGAAATGTTGAAATTCCTTATTAATGTAGAGTTCAAGTGTCATTGGTTTAATAGTTTGTCAAAAACTCTTGTGTAGCTCTTTCTGTTGGCTGTGGGTATCAATGATATTAGATTCGTAATTCAAAGCTTTTTTTACAGTGTATTTAGGCTGAAGCTTTATGTGATAGTATCATGAAGGCATCTGAATAATATTTATGCCCCTTGTTAGAACAGCTGATCTAATCATTTTATTTCTAAGTAGAAGCAATCAAGAAAGGTTATTTTAATTTCACAGACAGGTCTGATCAGGACCAAAAAGTATAATGTCCTTTGTGCTCATTTGTGTCATGTGTGTTCATTTTACCTATGGCAACTCTGTCTTCCTGCTTTACAGTTTCACTCAGTAAACAGTCTGTAACAATACATTTCTGATGTAATAAATTTTAAATACATTTTCCAAGCAACAACTTATATCACTGTGAAAGGGGTTCAAGAATTTTGAAAAACTGGAAGTATTTTGTTGAATTGTATGAGATGGGAAATACAAATTTCTAAAAATATTGGTGGAAGAGTGACATTTTTGTCTCATGCTTACATAGAAATCTGGAATGACAGGGATAATAAGCAATGTTATAATATGCTAAAGCAATTAATAAAGAAAACCCCTTGCAAGAGCAATGACATGTTGACTTCTTGCTATTGACTAGCCATCTAATCACATTTTGGGTTCACTACTTCTCTTGAACTTTTAGAACCTAGGTTAAGGTCTATAGTTTCAATAGCGAATTAATTGAGATTATATGAGTACAGGTAACAGAAAAAATAAGTTGCTAGAAAGCACTATAAAACAATGTCTTCTTCCTGGTTGTCTACTTGTCGTAGCTAAAAGTCTAAATTAGGTTTATTAGTGCTTCATTTATTGCTGAGTCATGAAGACTAACGTAGTTGCTTAAGTTGTAGTAACTGCTTAAAGCTGGAGCAGGCTGCAGAACCTGTGAGGTCTCTGAAAGTGAGAGAGGTTGCATGGGAAGAAGATCCCTAAGAGCCAAGTTGGAAGGGATGGGAGGCAGCAAGTCTTGTTCCTCAGAAAATAATTGAAGGTATGTAGAACATCCTAAACATGAGTAATGAACAAGCTTGTATTTAAATTGATTATAAAAAAAGTGTAAGGCTTTAACACATTTTCTTACCTCAGATTTCACCTTGGTGATATTTTCTTTCCTTGAGTTTAGAAGGCCAGTGTTAAATCTGCACACTTGGCACTAGTTTAGTTCTCAGTCAAGTCTCTCTTAACTTTTTAAACTGTGGCTTCAATTAAGCTGATTTTTTAATCCAGTAATGTCTATTATCAGTCTCTCCTTAATTTTACCTGGCTAGTATTTTTACATCCTAGCTACCTTTTCTCTGAACAGGTAGAACATATTATGTTACTCTTCTACTGCTCTGTGCCGTTAAAGGCTTAAGGAGACAAAACTTTGATTCTTTTTATGAGAAATAGATTTTACTACTATTTTTTTCCCTTGTTTTCTTTGTTCTCCAGGTTCCATAATAGTCCTGAATTCAAGTCTGCAGAGCCTTTTACACTTCTTTCCCCAGAGCTGATGGGGAGTGTAGTCATATTGTCTATATATGGTTTTTAACAGAATTTTTCCAAATAACTAGTTTAGCTAGAATGTTCACTTTTATAGTAATGAGTGCTTATTTGGTCTGTATTTGTATAAGTACTGCACGACTCTGAAAAGCACAGTTTGGCAGCAACCAGAATATAAAGGAAAAAAAAAAAAGACATCATGATACTTCACTCACAACTTAGCAGTTGTGAGATAAAATCCAGAAGTAATAAATGTAACAGTGTAAACTATGCATTAATTGTACAAGCAAGAGAATAAACTATAATTTGATTGAATATAAAAGAAAATCTGTGTGTGACAATAATAGTAGCAAACATATGTGGAAAGGTATTTTATCATGTGATCCATTGTAGAAAATGTGTCTTTTATCAGAGAAATCCATGAGATTGCATAAAAAGAGAAGAAGATGCTCTTCTTCTGTTGTTGAAGATTTTAGGTGAATTGAAGCAGCATTCTCAGTGAAGAAGGACATTGTTAAGTTGTTACAGAACGGTTTTCACAAATAGTCACAGCAGTGGAGATTCATTTATGGTTTATTTTGCAAGTATGATGAGCGAGTATGATGAGCAGGTACTTTAAAGACTTAAGATTTACTGGAGTTTTTTGACAGACATGGCATATCTCTTTAATGCAGAATGCTTATAATTATAATTATAATAAAATATTGTAATACCTGTAGTTCCTGTGTTGAATGTAGTTATCCTTTTTGTGAAGATTATCTGTTTTCTGACCATGGCCCACGACTGTCAGTATAAGATTGCTGCAGATTTTGAGAAGAAAATACATAAGTCCTATAGAGTATGACCCTTAAAGTTCATCTAGTTCAAACTCCCTGCAATCAGAAGGGACATCTTCAACTAGATAAAGTTGGAGCCATATCCAACCTGACCTTGAATGTTTCCAGCAACGGGGCATCCACTGCCTCTCTGGACAACCAGCTGCAGTATCTTACGGTCTTCACTGTCACAAAGCCTTCTTCCTTATGTCTTATCTAGATCAAAACCAGGCTCTGCTAAATAGTCTTTTTCCATCTCTCTTTCAGACTTGTTAAGTACTGAAGGGTCATGGTAAGTTCTCTCCAGAGTCTTCTCTTCTCCAGGCTAAATAACCTGGCTAAATAGGAGAGGTGTTCCATCCCTCCACTCATTTTTGTGATCTTTCTGCATGAAGAGCAAGGGGACAGAATCACCTGCCTTGACCTGTGGCCACATTTCTTTTGATGCAGCACAAAACAGTATGGCAATCCTCCTTCAAAGAGTTGATGTTTCTGATACTGCTGCTTATGCAGAAGGAACTGATGTGTCAATACTTGGAGGTGTTTAGAGCCTCAGTAATCAAAACAAAGTCAGGAGTTTATGTTCCATGCATAAGTGTTGCAGACAGCTGTTTCTGAAGAAAATTTGGAGATAGGGATTACACTGTATAATAGGTTAATAGTACATCTTTTCTTCCTTTATAGTTATAAATTTTGCTTGCATGTCCTAGAACCTAAGCATCACAGAAAGTAGACAGGTGTGTCTCTGTGCAGTTTGAGATCTCACGCTACTCATAATCTTTGCTAAGAATTCGTGAGTGCTGAAGCATGAGTTTAATTTTTATTTGTGATGCCATGATGCGGGGAGAATCACATGTGGCTATAGTAAACACCTTGAGGTAGAAAATGCATGGCATTCATTGTGGCACATGGCCACTCCAGTAAAGATTACTGAGAGCTGTTGTATGACAACAAAACACACTTGGTATGCTGCTTCACTGAAGATTATTCATAAGAAGGTTTTTCCAGTCTATTATATACAAGTGTGAGGGAAGAAGAAATTAAATAAATAACTTGTTTTTTTCTGGGATTATTTTGTTCAGTTTAGTCTGATATGACGATGTTGAACACTGTGTTCTGTGCTTGAGTTGAATTTCAAGTCTTGTTTAAATAGACTTTTAGACCTGCATTTACTTCAGCCTTTCAGAGAGAGAGAAAAGTCTTGAGTAATTAATGTGTACTTTGCTCAAAATTATTCTGACATTAATTTTGAGGAAAGAAGTGTTAACAAATTCTCTAAGGCCTTAGTCGTCTACTAAGTAATTTTAGAGGTTTTATTTTCTTGGTGGACTTCGGGTTCCAAAGCAACCTGATTTCAGTGCAGAAGCTTTTTATGTCCTTGGGTTTTTTGGCAACTTGCACTGAAACTTTTATTTGTGATACTTTTTCTTAGCTACCATAAGAAAGAGAAACCTCTCAGAGGCAAGATTTAAATATCTTCTTCTAATGTTTCTACTCTGTTCTGAATTAAATGACTGCATTTTCTAATGAATTTCCTAATTAATTTCTGTGTTAATTGGCAAAACCAGCTTACGTTAAATGTTTTGCACAGAATGGAAGTCTGGGATGGGCTTTCTCTAGTTCTTCTACAGCTGAATTTGTGTAGTATTTCTTCAGTAGGAATCCAGGGTGTGGAGGGGGGGCTGTGTGAGCATGGGGATGTCTTTGGAGAAGGTTTGGAGGTTTCACAAAAAAGATGGAAGATGGGAACAGTACATACTAACTAATTTGAAAAACTGATGATGTCGCCTATTAGAGCAAGTTTGCGCTTACTAATATGTGGAAAAGTATTAGTCACAAGATCTTGTACTGTACCTGAATATGTGAAGTCTTTTTTTCTGTCAACTGCATGTTTTCAACTTAAGTTTACTTAATGTTTTACTGAAAAGAAATGTACAAAGACAGCCATTCAATTGAGGATTAATCACTATGGCAATAGAAGTGTGGTGACTAAAAAGGGGGAGGATGTATTTTCCCCTCAGCTTCCTGCCAGCTGTCATATTCAACCTCAGCAGCATGAATTCAGGCCAAAATATAGACTGTGACCAGCTCGAAGAAACTTTATCTGTATTTTTATAAATTTGTACAAGAATTGCACTATAAAGGAAGACTTAATCCCCTGGATTGGATGACAGACATTTGGCACTATTGCCAGTGTTTGACAGAGAAATAACGAGATGCTTTGTAGTAAAACCTGGATTAATGGTAAACCCCTCTTTATGTTATTGCAATGTGGTGTAAATGAGAAAACTAAGCATGCTGTCAGCCTAGGAAAAAACATGGCCTTTGTATCTCCAATGCAGATTTAAGTACTATTGAGAATACTGTAAATACAAAAGTTGTGTCATTAAGAACTCTACTTTATTTTATTTGTATTACACTGACATTTTGTAGATTATTTAAACAAAGACTTTCTATCAGTTGTAGGATCTCTTATTGCAGTGTGTTTACACAGCTTTCAGATTCAACAAGTTTAGATAGTTGTTTACAAAGAGTAGGCTTTTGGGAGATAACATGCCTTTGGCCTTGCTCTTCTAGGATGGGGAACTATGCAACTTTAAAGTAATTGTTCCCAAATGATTGGCCTGTAATGCTGTTTTATTGAGTTTACTGGTTCAGTTTGCAATGGAATTAACCATTTCACTATTCTACTTTTGTTTGTGTTTTTATAATGTAGTGAGGTTGTATTTTTATGATGTAATGAGTTAATATGTGGCATTCTTTGAAGGTTGTAGTGGAGGTTTTTTTTATGATATATGTGCATGGCCTTTGGTTTTGCTACTCTTTGACAGAAGGATGAGAGGGTGAATGAAGATGGGTGCAAGTCCACAGCTTCTGCTGGAATAAGCAACTACCTTAAGCTTTGAATTCTGAGACAGGCTGAGTGTCTCCTCCCATTCTCAACAATAATAACTATAGTGATTCAAGGTCTGATATGTCTTACAGGAATTACTTTAGGTAAAGGTTCAAAAACTTAAGATTGCTCCTAATTAAAAATTCTTGCTCTGTTACCTATTGTAAAAGAAACAGACTCAAGTAAATATGAAATACAGAAGATGAAATCTGTTCTCAATTCATATAGTAGTCAATTCTCCAGTACCAAGAAAAATATTAGAGTTTATGGAATGTCCTTGTCTCAGTTTGTTTATGCAATAAAGCTACATGAAACATACATGGAGAAATGACAATGTAAAAGTTTGTGTAATTTTATCAGCTTTAATTCTACTGGTCTCTTGGTTCTGGCAACATGTTTTGGAGGAGTAGTTTGGATCCATAATAAATCTTAACAGTTTTTATAACTTGAAAAATATTTCTGCTGTTAGTCTGCTGGGATGCATTCAAATATTAGATGCACTTGTAATTGTAGCCAACATAACTTTGTTTAGCTCAGAAAGCTTGATGTAAATATAGTTATCCTTAAGTATTTTAAAATTTTAAGCTAGGTTAGCTTTATTATCTAAGACAATTAATGTATTGACTGTTGACTATACATTACTTGTAATTCTCATTCTACAGCCTTATTTTCTTAGAACAGCAGATGCATTCATTCAGAGACTTGTTTTTCCATTAAGAAAGCTAAATTCAAAGGAAAAACTAATGTCCACATCAAAAATAGTTCTGAAATACTATAAGATTCAGGCTCATTTTAAACTGGAATTTATGACTCACCATAAGTCTCTGAAGTACAGTTTGTTCAGTAGTGTGTTCTTGGCAAGTAGAAAAGTAATTCTAGTTTATTTAACAATCTTGTGAAAGTAGATACAGGGTTTTTTTTGCTAATTGTATTTTTTGTCTTCACCATGTGGACCTCATTTTTAAAGAAACTGCATGAAATTTTATGTAGACACTATTACAATTTATCTTCCTTGACATACAGAATAATTTAGGAAGTGATTATTATGTGACATGTACATACTACATTGGCTTTAAAAGGTCCCTTTCATTTTAAACTACTCTATCAGTCTGTGTAGAAGAAAGAAGCAAACAAGACCAAGAATGGACAGTCAGGTATCAAACATTTCTTGGTACTTTATGTCCTGACAGCAGAGAAACATTGGTAAAATAAAAATAATATGTAGCAATAGCATATGCTCAAGAAACATATATAGAAGAGTTGTAATAATTAATACATATGATCAGAAAAAACTGTCGGGGGGGGAGGGGGGGGGAACCCAAACCAACAAGAACCTCCAAACCAGACCAAAAAACTACATGAAAACACTGCAAAGGAGAAAAAGATTATTTGAAATAATTTAGAAATGTAATTTGTGTAGATAAAAACACTGGAATGCAGTATCAAATCATCAAATTAATAGCAATCATCCAAAACCAACTTCAACTCGCAATGTATTGGGAAGGTCATGTGTTTTCTCAAGTTTTCAGGGAAATGGGAAAACATAAATTAAGATATGGCATAATGGTTTGTTATTTGTTGTAAAATATATTTTAAGAGGTTAGTCATACTGAATTTACTGTTTCTTTCTGGTGTTTTGGGTGACTGCAAGACAGCTAGACATTTTAGAAGGCAATTCTTGTTTATTATAGAAATATAAACAGTGCAACTGCAATGATAAGTATTCTGGATATCTGACAACAGTGGTTTCGTGCACACCAAAAGAGAAAAGTCTTGTAACACTGTGGGCAAATCAGAGGGATTATTGATGCTTGGAAGTCAGTATCTGGCAAAATAATTACTGTAGGGATACTTTGGGTAATGAGGAATTAAAAGAGAGGAAGGTGCTTGCACATGGTGCAACTATGGCTGAAGAATAATTATGCAAACATTTTCAGATTCAGGCTTCTGAAGGACGTTCATTATCCTCCAAGTCTGGTGTCTTAACAAATTGCCACAGACATGAGACAGTTTAAAAAACAAGTATCTCTGTTTCTCTTTTTTTTCTACTTCATCTTACTCCCAGCTTCTGCCCACTTACTCTCCCATACCTTTTCATCTTTCTTTGCCTTGCTTGAAGGAACTAAAGAAAAGGGAGTTACTGGCTTAAGGTGTCCAGTCATCTCTGTCATGTCTGATGATGCATATATGTGGTGTAACATTCATTGCTCTAGAGTATAGTGCTGCCTCTTTATGCCTGCTGCAAGAAGGACAGATACTGAAGTTTTGTACTGTCAAAGCTAAACCAAAATTAGGTTTGGTAGGTGTATACAGTTTTTAACTGCTGTAACTACGCAGCAGGAGACAAATTGCCACACAGAGCTAATACATCCAAGAGTTATAGCTTCAATATGGAAACTTAAAGTAGGTATTACTGCTGCATTGTAGCACTTAAATTTCTGCTTGATGCCTGTGCTCATTCTTCTTGAAGAGTGTTACCCTTAAATGGGTTTTGTGACACTTAATGTGCAGATAGTCTAGCATGTTTGCTACATTCTTGATTGCTGCATTAGGTAATATATAATTCAAAGAAATCAAAACTATCATTGGTATCCAAAACTTTATATATATTTTCAAGAGTAAGAGAATTAGGAAAAGAAGATAGGATCAAAACCTACATAGACTCAATGGAACATGAAAGGGTTTAATATATGCTTTCTTTGAAGAATTTTTACATTGTAGTAAGAATCCCTGGGTTTCTGAATACTTTAGAAATAATTTTCTGAACAACTACTTAATCTGTCGTCTTTCCCATTGCGATATTTAAAAAGTGTCTTAAATGTAGTAGATCAAGGGGGAATAGAAGAAGAAAACAAGGATAATAAGACAGGAAGGACTGGCTACAATTTTGTGGGGTTTTCCATAGTTCACAATAGCACTTCATAATTTCATTTTATTGTACTTTCATTAACTTTTTCTTTGCATTTAGTTAGATATTTCTGGAGTGTAACTTTTTCTCATTTCATTTTTTCAATTAAAAACCACTGCCTTCTACTAAACCACTTGCATGATCTTTGTCTTACATGTATGCCTTTGAAAGTAAATAAAATGTGCATTTCTTTTGAACTTGCTGTGAAGATTTTCTTGACATAATGGAACTGCACAAAGTTTAGTAAAGTATTAAAATACTGCATTCAGTAGTTCTATCAAAATTTTCTATCTTTGATGTCAATGTAATTATTTTGCTGTGCCTCTTGCCCCTCCCCCTCACATTTGTGAAAACAGAAATGTATAGTGGTGTTACAGATAATTCAATATAGACAAACATAATTTGACAGATGACAAACAAGTATTGATCAGCTTTAAATGAAATTTTCCACTTTGATCCACAGGAATTTTATAACAAGCACTGCAAAGGCATACTGTGTTTAATGTATTTAAATATTTAGTAAAGACTTTCCTGATTGCTGTCACTCTGTCTGTCAATATTCTTTTAACATACAGCATGCAGAAGGATTTTTGTTTCCTTTATCGATTCCATTGTACAATATCAAAATATGAGATACTGAATATCATACAGAGTGTGACATTCAATAGTACAAACAGATTAAATGTCCCAGTGTCTGTAGAAGAAGAAGCTAGGAGTCAGAGGCTTCTAGCTAGATCAAGTTGTCTTGATCTCAGTCTTGCTTTGTGAGATTGTCTTATGTATGTGATAAGTGTGATAATTTGTGTGAACATGACCTGCACTATACAGTCAACACAGCATTTCGTGTAGAAGTGAGGGGTGTGGACACAGTAATTTGTCAGAGAAAGGGCTTGAAGAACAGAAAAATACAGAAATCTGTGCAAGAGAAATTATCATTGTGAGATCAGTGATTCAGAGGGCAAATATTGAAAGATATGGCCATGAGATTAATGAATTTAGGAGGACAATACAGGAAGTCAAATTCAAAAGAAAGCAAAATAATATAGAATATTGACAGTACTGGAATATTGACTGAAGTTTTCACTTTTTGATAGTAATGCTAATAGAAAGATAGAATATTTTAATCTCATTTTTCAAATCTTACTTACACATAGACCCTGTCATCCATTGTGTCATTTTGAATATTAAGCAGCAGATTTGACCTTTAACAGACATGGAGACATTTAAAAAAAACTAAGTGTTTTGGGTTTATTTTAAAAATTTTAGTTTTTTAAAAAAATAAGTTCCTGGATTTAGGAGCTGGGTGTTGGGCTTTCTAAAATGTTTGTCTGTTCAGCAGAGTCAGTTGTTGTGTTTCAGCCTAACCTGGGTATCATGTAACCAATTGCCTTTGCTCTAGGGAGCTGGGAAATTCTCAGGAGTAACTCACAATGGCTGCAGACTTCCACTGGAATTCGCTCCTGCAGTTCCTGCAATAACTTTTTTTACAGTAATTTTTTCTGCAATGAGTTAAAAAAAAGCCCACCTTTAAACAACTTATTAAGTAGAAGAGAATGCATGCTTTTTGTATGTATTTGGTGGTATTTTGGTATTGTTCTTTTGGGTGGTGCAGTGTACCTAAGATTTTATGCTTTCAGAACTAAATATTGCCTTTTGTGCATTTATATGCAGTTAATAATACTTCCAACATTAAATGTGGTTCTTTGCAAAGACAAGCAATTTTATGACTTTCAGTCTGTTAACAACATTTGGTTTTTTTCCCAAAGATATTAAAAATCTTCTGTGTTTGAACAGATGTGTAAACCCAAGTGTTACTACCTTATATACTTGGGTCTTGTTTAATGAGAGGTAGATTGATGTGCATTTATGGGGGTTTTAACATAACTTTAAGACAGACATTTACATGTCTGTCTTAAAGTTGTCTTCTATTGTATTCAAGTTATACTTTTTTGAATTATACAGTCCTGATTTCCTAACAGAGTGAAAAATAAGCTGTCTTATCATAGTGAGATCAGAATACTATATTTTTCATGCAAATAATCCATAAAAATAAATATTTTTTAAAACTATGGTTGCTTTCTTTTTTGAAAATACATTTTCCAAGTAAAAATGTTAACAAATGTATACAGAACCAGCAAAATAACTTATTTATGCTGCAGGTAACATCTGCTAATTCAGTCTTAATTTTGTTTCTAGTATTATACTATTATTGGGAGAATAGGGTTTTTTTCTTAATTTGGGTGGAGTTTCTGTGTTGTGTAGAGTAACATAATGGTGTAGTAAAATGTTGGTCTTTGGAGCTGTAGATTGGTCTTAGAATGAAAATTTATGCCTGTAGGTTCTGTAATATTAACATCTCTCTCACTATGCTAGTTTGAGGTTACTTACCAAAGTAGTGGAGTGAGAACACATGTGAGATTCTAAAGCTCAAGAACATTGTGAACAGCCTATGAAAATAAAGGAAATGGACATGGACCAAGTAGAAAAACATTGAGAAGAAACAGTGTAGCTCTGAAACCAAAATTTGAACAGCAGATGACAAGGTGTGAATGCCATTTGTGATTTAATCTCTAAAGTAGTGTTTGTAGGGAGACTGAGGATATCAGTAACCAGCTATGTTTTGGCAAAGGGGAGGTTTTGGTGAGAATTTGTGAGAATTTCAGAAAAAATAACTCATGTTCAAATAGGATCATATTTTTGTGCAAGATGCCAGAGAATCAAGACTTCCCTTCATTGTCCCTGGAATTTCGCGACTGAGCAGGGAGTCTGCATTTTAGCTCTAAATACCAATCCTAGTGTTCAGTTTAGTTACAAGGGACAGAATTGGGTGCAGTTGGGTGCATTGTTACATCACAGGCACAGCTGTTCTAATGATTTCAATGTCTCATTTTACTAGAAAAATTATGAAGTTCCAGAAGACAGTACTTCAGAGAAGAAAGTTATTAAGGAAAGGCAAGAAATGTTGAAGAAGCAAAATCATCTGTATATTACACATCCTGTGACCCAAAGAAGCAAAAAAGTACACAGAGTAGGTTCAACCACCTTTATGATTGGAAGGACACCCAAAGAAATACGCAGGTGAGACTGTTTTGGTGAGTTGGAAGTAAAATTCTAAGGTTGAAACAGACTTTCTTTTGAGTAGTTGCATTTGTCTTTGTTTCAACCCTATATACAGTAATTTTTTCAACCCTATATACTGTAATTTTCTATGGCAGGAGTGAAATTAGTGGGAAACTTTGATTCACATTACTCTATGAGTACTGTAATTGATTAATAAAATTATTTGAATGCACAAATTACTTGAATGTGTTGATTCAATGGTCATAGATTACATAACTGTAGATGTCATCACCATGAGTGTTTGTATTATGTGTATCTTGGGCTACTACAAAACAGTGTTTAAACTGTATAGAAAAGAGGCATTTTATAACATTAGCTTCTGACTGCATACTGATTTTGCCCAGATCTCATCACTTGCGCTGAATGACTGTTAAAAAAACTGGGCTTCATGCTTCTTTTTTAGCATGGCGCTCAGTACTTTTGATATCTCTTCTAATGCTTTTTTCCCCACCGTTATTTTTTGAGGGATAATAATTTTTTGTTTCCTTGTTTTTTGTTTTCCCAAGTGATTGCAGTTATGAATATTAATTTCTGTTGTTATGTAGATAGCAGTTCAATAAAAATATCCCCGTGTTTTGTGGAAATAGAAAGTAGAAAGCGGTAGCTAGCTAAGCAAACCTACAGAACAGGTATTTGGTATATATTTTCAATTTGCCTTGAGACAAGTAAATTGCTATATGAAAGTTGGTATCTAGGTAATGCCTGTAAGCATTCAGAAGCTATCATATGTGCTAGCTGGCTTCAGTTGTCCATATTGTTCTTGTCAAAGTGGCAAGAGCAGGTTATCTATTAGCACTGGCATGCAATTAGACTTTTTAGTACATGTGGATGTGCCATGGAGTGAATGAGGATGATTACATGCCTCAGTTTGTTGTGCTTGTAGGGCAGAGTGGAAAGCTGTCTGCAGTTACCACAGTCAAGTGATTGGAGCTAGCCAGTCCAGTAGTATTTGAGGCAAACAGAGTTAAATCTTACTGCCTTTTGGAGTCTTCCTAACAGGAAAGGAGACATGTTTCATATCTCTTCTCCAACACAGGATTGCAAAACTACCTTTCCAGCCTTCCAGTAAGGTTCTCTGACCTCAGACTAGGGCTAACTCAACTAGAATGGCCTATTTTAATTTGAGCTTGGCTTTTTAGCAGAAACAAATATTCCATAACTCACTGGGTAGGATGATGTGGACGATGTCCCCTGTGCATGCATTTATCCAATTTTTGTTTAGCAAGTCTTCTTTAAAAGGACTTGGAACAACTATTTCCACCCCATTTCCCCCACCTCCTTGTTAAGGGTTTTAGAATAACACATTTTTCCTTCTTGATAATTACAGGAGACAGTTTGAGGAAATGGTATCTCACTTTAATATGGGATCAGTGAAGGACCTTGCAGAACATATTGCAAAAGCTACATCAGAAACCAGGCAGAAGCTATTGAAGGAATTCTATGTTTCCAAGCATCCAGAAATGGAGTCTTTCTTCTCACTTGAAATACCAGCAGAAGCTTCACATAACTGTGAGGAAAGAGAACTGGGTACAATACGCTCCAGAAAAAGAAAATACATTGTTAATTTCAGAAGATCTGAGTCTAGACCTTCATCAGCTAAAGGCCTACTTTTGAGTGGAACTACAGAAACACAGACCCAGGAGAGCCATAAAGGAAAAACAGAACAGCTTCACAAGGACTCCTACTTGCAAGATATGTTTGTTGATGCAAAATATAAACAATCATCCACTGTTGCTACTCAACATATCCAAAGAAGAAACAGTCAAGCATTCAAGGATTTTATGGCATCTGGCTCATTAAGCAGTAAATCAGAAATAATTGAGGTGCTGCCTACAAAAAGTTGTGGAGGACAGCAAGACTCAGAAGAAACACAGCTGCCAAAGGAAAGATCCGTGTCTCAGTCAGAAAATGGAGATAGAAAAGCTCAGATTTGCAAGAAAAATTCTTTTGTGGACTTACTTGGAGATACGTCTATTCTTGATGAAATCTTCAGAAATGATGGAAATGGGTCTACAGGATCACCAAGGATATTCTCTTCAAGACAAGCAGAAAAATCAAAGGGGAGACCAAAAGATTTCTGGGATATGCTGAATGAGCAGAATGAGGACAGCCTCAGAAAGCTGACAGATATAGCAGTCATAGAGAAGCTTTGTGAAAGAGCTCCTCATTCCTCAGTGACAGAAGATAGAGACGTGTGTGAAAGTTCTCTCTGGAAAAGAAATGAAACTTTTTTGTGGAAAAAATACAGTGCAGATGATTGAGATGAACCATCCACTACTAAATCTTGTAATGTAGTAAAATGAAAGTTTTCTATGTAAGTTGCACTATAACTATTTTATTTGAACTTTGACAGCATTATGCCACAAAATGTGGTAATTCCATAAAATTAAAGGTAAAATGATAAATTCATATTTATAGTGATACAGAATTACATTTTACAAGTAATTATTTACTTGTAATTATTTGCAAGTAAATATGTATGTATTTACATATGCAGTGTGTAGTACATATATGCACAGTCATGCATATGTACTGTATATTGTAACCTATGATATATCATGATTTTATATTAAAATTTTTAGCATTTTCTGAGTGCGCTCTACTTTCTTTAATTCTGATTAGTGCTTCTCTTGAGCTTAGGAATTTTTTTTCCTTTAATTAAATGTGGACATCAGCAGTCATCTCAACACAATTTAGAAATAACAGGATTTGATACTGCATATATTTTCTGAGGTGCTAGAGACTGGAGGACTTCCTGAGACAGGGATGATGTCTTTGTGCCTAGTAGCTTTTGATGAATTCCCATCCTCCATGATTTTGCTTCGTCTCTGAAGCTGTGGACCTTTAAAATCTTCATAGTATCCTATAAAAGTGAGTTTCTCAGCTTGGTTAATATGAAGAACCACCAAGTTTTTTTATTTGATCTTTCTCAAATTAGAAAACATTAAATTATGTTAGGTATCAAATTTCATCTCATTACACTTTCATCTCCCTTTTTTTATAGACTTCTGTTATGTCTTTGTCAGGGAATATGCAGCACAGTGTATGTGTTGGAAATAAGCAGTACATTGCATATGTGATAAGGAATTTGAACATCTTGACAGGTTATTATCTTACATGTGGAATACTGGATGTAGTAAAAATTCCATATGAAAACTATTCTTCACAGATTGGAAGAGTGTAAGATACTCAGTGTCATACCTCATTTGCCAAGTAGTCTGTCACATTTTTCAGTGCTACGGGCCCATGTAAAGAGTACCTTGTAAGACATAATGAGAAGAGACCAGGGCTTCATGTTGCTCTGGAAACCTTAACCCTGATTTTTGATTTTTGTAAGCATTAGTATACGGGTTTACATTGAATGTACTGTATAAATTGTTTTATGTAAAGGTTAAATGTTACAAAATTTTAAAACCCTAGACACTGAACCTGCACAGCAGTAGTCTGTGAATGGTGGTGGTTTTTGTAGTCTGGAAGATTGCCCACTGGAAAATAAGCTTAAATTTGATCTGGAGCAGCTTCTACTTTAGGTCATGGGAAGCTGTTGTGGACTGCACTCTGTCTCTGTGGTAACCATTGTGCACATATTATAAGTGGAAACCATCTAAAATACTGATTGTGAAATCTGACTTAACTACCTTAAATAAGGAGCTGAGTATTTAACATAAATGTTAAGTAATGAAATCTTTGGGTTTTACAGCTAGCTAACATAAATAAGAGTAATGTCTTCCCTAACTTTTTCTTACTCTGAATACATGCTGTTGCCACTTTACCAAATTGTATAATGGCCAGTTGGAACAGCTTTTCAAGAAGTAGTATGAACTAAGAAGGTAAAAGAAGAAGCTGTAAGCTCTTACTCATTGGTACACTGGAATTATGTACAGCTAAAGGAAGTCAGCCTAAGTTAGGTAATATCTACACCCTCAGTGATGTTAATAAATACGAGATAAATTAATGCCTTTTGTTTGTGGTATCAGTATTGATTTTCTTTACAGGTTAGTGTTCTTACGCTTAGGCAAACTGCTTTTTAGGTAAGAAAGAGAAAGTTTGGTGGAATAAAAACTGTGGTCATCAAATACGTTAAAAAAGAGGAAGGGAATAACTCCTTTGTGTCTATAGCAAAAAGAGGAGTTAAGTGGCTTAAATTGCACCAAAGATAATTGAAGTAATGTGTAGGTTTGGAAAGACAGGTGTCTGCTGAAGAAGGCAGGAGCCTTGCCTGAAATGGAAAAATGTAGACTCCTTCCCTCTGAATTGTTGTAAATTTGAAATTAAGGGCGTCTCTCGGGCAAAAATATGGGAGCAGGAATAACAGTTCTTTATTAGGGAAGAAAATAAAAAGATAAAATAAACAATGCGGTAAAGCAAAACAATACTGACAGAGTCAGAATACAACCTGACACCCTGTTGGACAGGGTTTGTAGCAGTTCAGTTGGAATTGTGGCTGCATCCTCCTGCAGTGTCAGGTGTGGTTCTGTTGGAGCAGTGGTCCTGGAGAAAAGGGTGCATTCTTCCTCTGAAGAGGCAGTGGGAGAGGCAGCTGATCCTCTGGGAAATCCAGCATAGAAAAAGCTGTGCTGGTGAGCCAGAATCTCAAGACAATGTGCAGGTAGTAATGCTTGGCTCCTTCTGCCTGCTTAACACAAGTCAACTGCCCTACAGATGGCAAATAGAATACATCTTGCTTTTCAATCTAGGAAAAGTAAGATAATAGAGAAAGAAACCCTGTAGGGAGTTAATAGGTTGTGTAGTGCCAGTATTTGACATAATCAAGAAGAGGAGAGAAAAGTACCTGCTAAAAGTTGCATGGATGAAACTGTCCTTGTTTTAGGCCAGAAGGAGGGACTGATAACCTCCACCTGAGGGTCCAGAAGGGGCTAGATAACCTTATTTCATTTCAGCTCATATTGGTACACTGAAGGAAGGCTTCACCTTAGCTCCATGTTTGTCAGCATGGTGTGAATCAGTAGGTGCTACACAGAGCAAAATCTGATTGGGGTAGGTAAGATATGCATTGATGAACAAGTATGAAGCTGTCATAATTTTCCTGAAGTAATCAGGAAATTATGTTTCTCTTACAAGGTGATGGTATGCAGAAATCAAAACTTCCATAGATGTGCATGTTTTATTCACATGTATGCCAAATACTGACAGTATATTTGTGGAAATCTATTTGTTATATGCAATTGAATTGAGCTATGGAAACATGTCTTGAGGTAAGATTTATGTCACTCTATTGCTTCCTGAAAATGTATTTTACAAGGAAATATCACCTAAGCCATAAATGTTCCAACTTAGTGCCCTAGGGATCTGTCTGTAAAATATTTTGGTTGTCAAGACATCTGTATAGTTTTAAAAAATTAATCTACATACATTAAAAAAAAGAAGAATTTTACCATAGTCTTCAAATATTAGAACTGAAGAGATTAATTCTGTCTTCTTAGAAATCTGTGGATATCATTTTATTTGGCTTTAAAAACAAAAATTATTCTGTGGAGTTCATACTTCCATGTACAGGTTCCATGCAGGAAGGCATGGACTACAGGAAAACTCTTAAACAACCTCCTGGCATAAAGAAATATCTTCATGGTAGTTGTTACCTGATCTGAATATAAATCATCCAGGAGATGGTGTGTCATTGCTTTCATGTGGAAGTGACTTGGTAGGTTTTGCTATTCCTGATTGCAGTTCCCTTGTTTTTTTACTCATTGGTGTTCTTATGGGTCTGGCTGTGGGTCCCTGACCTTGCAGGTGGTACAGTAATTCCAGTATTGCCTTCAATAGAAATTCTTTGACTGGAAAAAAACCAAGTTGCCAGTGGAATAGTGTAAAATTTGGTCCTGTCTGTGCTAACAAACACAACAAGCTATCCCAACAACAACCTTACAAGACCTAGGTAAAGACACTGTGTGTTCTGAATCTGATTTGCAGTGCAGTGTGGACCCTAAGTTGTTTTGCAAATTAGGCCTGTACTTAGAACTGCATTTGGCAGTAGCTTTGTGGTACATGAATTCCATATTTGATCTGGGGGAGGGAGACTGAATAATTTCAGGTAATTAATATATTTGAGAAAGTCAAAGTGTAGATGTATACATTTGTCAAGACATTAAGACAGTATGAAAGGACACATCTTAGCTTTAGCAGGTCATGACTTTGAGCACCAGAAGGTACACTGATGACAGTGCCATGACTTCAGCACAGGGAATAAAAACCAGCCTTACAAAGAGGAAAGGGTGATTGGTAATAAAATAATCAGAGTATCACAGGATAATTCAAAGGTGATAAGACAGTTACTATGTAAGAAAAAAATTACTTACTTCCTTAGATATCTTACCTGCAGAAGGAGGAGAGAATTTTGTTCTTCCAGAGAAGCATTTAACTGCCTTTGCTGCTGGATATTTTTCCATTCCTGCAGTGTCCTGCATATCTTATTCACTGCATACCTTCCAGCTTATGCAACAAATGATGTAATATTGTTACAAATACTCTCTCCTCGTGTTTGCACATTCCCTGATTCAGTACATCTTGACTTGTTCCATTCTATAAAAAAAGTAATGGCCCCTTAAGAAGATATCATGTCACAATCTACCTTTCTTATGGGGGTACCTGAAAAGTAGATAATTGGCTAGGGATGACTAAGGAGATGCAATTTCTGCCGTTGAAACTGCATGTCTGGATTGCAGATGAGAGAGGTAGGCAGTGATTCAGAGCATGTAAGAGACATGCCTCTTGTCCTGTAGATCATGTGTGGATCATAGCAGAGTCCTTGTGAGTCTTTATTTCACAAAGACAAGTGGGTGATTCTGACAGCTAATTCTGAAAGAGGAAGAAAGTGCATCTAAATGGATGATTGGAGGGCTTTAGAACTGTTTGCGTGGCATCCTAACCTTTGTTTAGTTGGCATCAGGAAGCTGAATTTCCTTTTCAAACACCAAGTGAAGACTGCACTCTGAAGTAAAGGACTTAATGTACGCATGACACTTGAGGACAGATTGTCTCAGTTGTTCTCTGAGTTTGCCTGAGCTGAGATGATGGAATTGAGTGGTCAGAACCTGACCTAGTGTCTGTGTCAACACACAGGATGACTGAATTGAGACTGTACACACAACTTGCACAAGCTGGGCCATAAGCAGGCCCACTGCACTAAAGCATTGTTTTCTGAAAATATGCAGAGACATCTTAATTACATTACAATTTGCATTGGTCTGTTGTAGCATGTCGCAATAGCTGAATGTTATTTATGTATTTAATAGCAGTATTATCAGCCCCTAACACTGTACCCAGTGAACACAATGACTTATCAGTGGGGATAGCTGGGATGCTAAACAAATACCAGCTAACCTCAGTGTGAATCTCTTTTCTTCAACAGAACTGTTTATACTAGATGAGTTTTATTCCCCTTTGTTTGTATTGAGTTGTTTCCTTCATGTGAATGGTCATGTAAACATGATATACTGTATCATCCTGAAAATCATTCTATGCTACTTACTTTAAAAACAAAGACCATATGTCTGTTTATATTGTTTGAGGTAAGTACTCAAAACTGTCATCAGCACTTGCCTCTCCATGATTCAGACTATGCTAGAATTTCTGTGAGAGTTTCTGCTTGTTCGGGTTTATAACTCTGCAGCAAGTAAAACATTCATACTGTGGTCTGATTGGAAGTGGAATTTAATCACCTCTGAGAAAGCTGTTTTCTTAAAACGTCTCTTTTGTGCTTTTGTCTCTTCACCTCCACAGCAGACTCGGAGATTAGCTTGGCTTGGTCCCTCAATATATGTATACTGTAATAGCATAACTAGAGGTATTTATGCTCATCTTGCCTCTCTGCCTTCACTTTTTTGTAGTTGTGGTTATATATATTGCTGTAATTACAATATGCTAATTCTAGTCTAAGAGTCTCATGCTTGGAGGGAATATTGAGGAATATCTCCTCATTAGTACAATACTGAGGTTCTGTTCTGCGTCTGATATGTCACTCTGCACTATTTAGAAAAAACAGAGCCTGTGTTCCTTGTAATGGACATTTCCTTTACATTACTATTGCCCTAATCATTAGAGGTAGATAATATATATTTTATAGATAGGTACTTACTTATGTACTGTATATTATATACTATACATACCTATGTATATATAAATTAGAATGATACTATATAATCAACTTCTAGCATACATTACAAGAAATTATGATTACAAAATAAGTATTTTATGCCTGAGGCAAAAGAAATATTAGGTATTTTATCTTAATATTTGACATACTGCTGTTTGACCTTGGGAACAGAGAATAATTTAGTGGTTTAGAATTTAGTGGTTCTATCAAATTGTAGTTGGATAATTTGCCATTTCATAGTCTTCTATGTCAAACCCTAGGCAGATAAGAAACCAGTGAAAAATGGTAACATTAGAATTCAGTGCCATTCATCTCTCATTCTTTGTAAACTGTACAGAGGAGAATGTGCAGTCTCTTACTTAGTGTAGTTTCTTAGACTGTGCAGTCTAGGAAAATGTGCTTGGACTAAACTGGTATTTCTCTTGAAACATTTCTGGATAGAATAAGGAATTCTCTTTGTAAATTCCATTTCACTAAAAGAAATAGAAGCAGTAGGAAGCCACTTAAAAATGAAAGTTGGACTTGCTATTGCTTATATAATGAAAGTTAAAATAAGAATTTAATATTTAACAATTAAATAATCCTCTTTAGTAATGAGAAAAGCTGTTTAAAGTGGTGGGAGTTTTAAAAATGCTTTTGTTTACCCTTTGGTTCAAGCATTCTATGCATTAATGTTCATGAATTCCAGTGAAAGGAATAACCTGACTAGTGACTGAAAAAGACAAAGACATGGAACTTGTTTGCATCTGGAGACCCTGATGTCCAGTGTCAAAACTACCACCCTTACCCTAAGAAAGGTAAAGGTTTAGGTAAAGGTTTTTGCAGAGTTTACTC